TCTGTCCCCTGGTCCAGGTCATTGATGAATACGTTGAACAAGATTGGACCCACTAACCTCTGGGCACACCGCTAGCAACAGGCCTCCAACTAGACTCTGCGCTGCTTATCACAACCCTCTGAGCCCTGCCATTCAGCCAGTTCTCAAACCACCTCACTGTCCACTCATCTAACCCACACTTCCTAAGCTTGCTTATGAGGATGTTATGAGAGATGGTGTCAAAAGCCTTGCTGAAGTCAAGGTATACAACATCCACTGCTCTCCCTTCGTCCACCCAGCTGGTCATGCCATCATAGAAGACTATGAGATTGGTCAGGCATGATTTCCCCTTGGTGAATCCATGTTGACCACTCCCGATAACCTTCTTTTCCTCCACATGCTTATTGATAACCCCCAGAATGAGCTGTTCCATCACCTTTCCAGGGATGGAGATGAGGCTGACTAGCCTGTAGTTCCCTGGGTCCTCCTTCTTGCCCTTTTTGAAGACCGGAGTGACATTGGCTTTCCTCCAGTCCCCAGGCACCTCTCCTGCTCTCCAAGACCTTCCAAAGATGATATACAGTGGTAATAACATCTGCCAGCTCCCTGAGCACTCATGGGTGCATCCCATCAGGGCCCATGGATTTATGGATGTCGAGTTTGCCTAAATGTTCTCTAACCTGATCCTCCTCAACCAAGGGAAGGTCTTCCTTTCTCCAGACTTTCTCTCCTGTCTCCCGGGTCTGGGATTCCTGAGGGCCAGCCTTAGCAGTAAAGACTGAAGCAAAGGCGGCATTCAGTAACTCTGCCAATATTAAAAAAACCCCTCTGTAATAATTATGTATTTCTCAGGACAAAATAGAAAACAATATGAATGGAATAGAAACAGGAAGTTTAATGTTGGTGTGTTTTCCCTGCTTTTTTTTTTCCATTAAAGAGCTTTAGAGTTACAGTAAATGGGCAGAAGGGCTAATTAAGAAGCCCTACTGCAAAAGGCGATCAGGATCAGGCAGTGGTAAAGAAAATTCACCACCACGGAAGGTTTTAGTTTCACTGTTATTACCTAAAGCTGCTTAGCACGTAGGGGTAAAATGGCTGAAATCTTTTTGCTCATCTGTTCAAACTGGTAAGCAGCTGAAGTCATTCAAATGGAGACCTTTGTTATGCACAGGTAGCTCCAAAATCCTAATTGCTTTCCAGATTTTAAAAGATACAGTCCTTGCCTTGAGAAACTAATTGACTGAAACTAAATATTTTAGTCTAGAGCTTGCTCTAAGCTCCACTGAAAGATATATTGCTAAGTGAGAGCTAATAAACTAAGCCGAATTTCTGATCCAGACTTCCATTCCCTTTTGTCACTTTGATACTGCCAGGTATGAAGGTTTGGTGTTGTCACTCCAGCTGCCAAATTAAGGTGTTTGGTAGTAATTTGACGTAGTACATGCTGACATCTTTGCAGACGCTTATTTTACACGTGTCTCTTAATGAACAACAACATATGAAAACACCCATCGTGACCGATATATTTATTTAAATGTACTTAAGCAAAAGTAATAAAATGTATTTAAAAGCAAATCTGCTGAAGGTTACAACTATCAGCTTTTACATACCATTTGCATAGATTTCAGTAAGAGCACAGAATAAGATTCTTCTTATAGCAGTAGGGTTAAAAGATTGCCGGTGTTGCAAAGGATTTGTTTCATTAAAATCCGGATTCGTTTGCGCTCGCTTCATCCACAAATCCTAAAACAGGGGGATTCTGAGCTCCTTCCCTGAAGCTGTTGCTGTTGCCTCTGTTTGTGTTAACAAACTTGTGTATCATGCTGTAATACTGCTCTTTGGAACTGAAGCTATACAAGAATGAAATCTTCCGCCAGTCTTCATTGCTGGGAGTCTGAAACGGTGTTGGGTCAACGGCTTCAAAAAAGGATTTCGTATTTATTTCTGCCAGCCTGGCTGCATGCTCTTTAGCCTTGATCTCAAAAAGCTCCTGTTCCTTTTTTAAGTAAATTTTCCAGAACTTGAGCTGAAGGTAGCTAACCGGGGAGCGACAGCGGCTGACACATTTTGAAATCAGTGCCACAGTAATGATGCAGGCTATCAGGAGCCATCCTATCAGCTTGGGAAAGAGAGACATAGGTTAATGGTGGTTTTGCATGGTCATACGTAGGAATATAGAACTTACCATTGAAACAGACATGAACACTGAAAGCAAAGACACCCTGGAGTGCCTGTAACACTCTGCTCGCTGCAGAAAGAGGGGATCCCATGCACACAATTTAGCCAGCCTTACACAGTTTCTGCACCCCTGAGCTGATCTAATTGGATTGAGGATGAATACCAAAAAAAAAGAGGTGAAGTTCTTCCCTCAGCTTGCTTAACTCTAAAGGCAAGATTAGTGACCAGCAGTTTCTGCAGTTGTGGTCAGATTTGTGGTACAGAAGGCACAGAATCTTCCTGTCTGCCTCAGGCGCTGTGGGTTAGACTTCCGGCTGACTGTGATTTAGCCACTCTTGGGAAGTACTTCCTTTCCCTGATGTCTGAGTCTCCAAAAAATAGCCAGTTGCCACAGCACACAGGAAAAGTTGCGTCCTGTATGTTTTGTAGGCAGGACATGGATTTGACTATCGAATATGGGAATTCATTCTTGGTTTATATATGATTGTAACACCCCTAGATAAGTCACAGGGGTCCCACCTAAAGTGAGTGTCCTAGAAGCTGCTGGTCCCTCCAGTACCAGCGGTACTTAGCTGGAAGCTGCAGGCAGAGCTCTCACAGTGTCCCCTTTCACATCAGGCTGATTTTTTTTTTTTTCAAGTGAACAACATTGAGTGCTAAAGAAAAATTAGTTTGTGTTCTTTTTGGTTCTTAATTTTGTTGGAAGTAGATCAGATATTAAAAATAATGGTCAGTAATAAAAATGCTCTCATGTTTTTTCTGGTTTTGACTGGTTTGTTTCTGATTTCATTGCAATATCCGTAACAGTCAGATTTCCTTGATTTTGCTCCTTTCTTACCCGATCTGGATTCAATGGTATAGGGTTTGCCACTTTTCAGCCTTTTTCTTGGAGGAGCAGCATGCTAAATATTTAACATTTTTGTTTTAATAAGCATTTGTATTAAGCATGAACTTGTAAAAATCCAAGTAATTATTATCTCTTATAAACTTAAGTCCATTAACCAGCCTTAATATTTTCCTGAGAAAAAGTGGTAAAACCTGATTTTTCTATTGGAGTTAAGACGATGACCAAAGTAACCTAGAAACAGAACTGCAGTGCTGCCAAAATTTGGGGGTTTCATTTTCACTCCAAACAAAAAAATCCACCCACAAGGGCTATTTTTTTTGGATCATGCAGTTTGCCTTCAGCACAAGAACAATTTAACAAGACAGATACGTATTTTAACTATTCTTCTAGAATACATGTGTGAAATTATTAACAGCTTCAGGTCTCGAGATTCATAGTCAAACAAGCTGTCCTTATTTGCTTCATCTGCCAGTTCTCTGTTGCAAGGAGACATCGTCGGCTTTCTCTCTATTCATGACCTCAGCTTCCCCTCAGCTAATGCATACTTACAAAAGTTTGAGATATTTGGAGAGGTAAAAGTGGAAAAAGAGAAGAACTCGCACCATGCCTAAGTTAAGCAAGAAGAAAACTTGCTGTGGAAAGTCCTGGTCTCTAGGCTGGTTCCCTGCCCAGCTTTGAAAGAGGTTTTATAGATAGCAGTGCCAAACAATTGCCATGCAAACATGCAAAACCAGAAAATAGCACAAATGTACACTTATTACCTTTCTGTTAGTGTTTTTTTGCTAATGAATTTTTGCTAATTGTGTACTTTTGGTAATTGTATAGAGTGAGAGAGAAGGCAGCACCATACATTGAGCAGCCAGGGTTGAAGGCCATAGGGTGAAGAGTGGTGAGGCTTTACCTGGGACTGTGCCTGAAGGCTGAAGAATTCACTCGATATGTTCTTCCATAACTTCTCATTGCAGGGTATTTTGACCATCAGCTTGCGGCACTCTTGTCCTTGATCTTTACAGAAGTAGTTCTGTATCAGGCTGTTCCCGCTGGCCGCGCACTCGTAGAAGCTGGCTCCGAGCAGGGCCACCGCGATCCAGGTGAGAGGGGCCACCAAGGCTCTGGCCGTCACCGGCACCAGCACAAAGCAGTAGTAGAAGCAGGTTCCCCAGGGGCTGCTGCTGCTGCAGCACTTCTCCGCAGGGCAGCTGTTTGTCAGCAGGCGCCACGTCCTGGCGTTCACCATGTAGCCAAGCAGAAAGAGGATCAGGGCAGGCACTGAGAGGAAGATGGAGCCATACAGCATGTTCCCAGAACTGCAGGGACATTGGAACACCACAGAGGAGAAGATGTGCTCGCTGGCAGCCGTCATCAGGGACACAATGCTGTAACCCAGAACAGTCTGGTGGCGGATGCAGAAATCCAGCACCCCGCGTAACTTATCCATTTTCTGCCTCCCCTTACTTTGAGGAGAGTGAAATCTCAGTAAATCCTTTCCTCAGGAAAGGAAAAGAGAAAGACAAGTGTCCTGCAGCTCCCTTGGCTTAGAGAAGTTTGCAGAACTTTCACTTTCCGTTGTTGGTGATGCAGTGAGGCATAGAAGCGGCTCTCTTCAGAGGAAAAGGAAGAGCGTGGGCTCACTGTACAGTATCAAGGTCAAGGGGAGATCACAGTGGAAACCCAGCCCATCAAAACAACAAAGATCTATCTTTGTTTCTATAAAAATAATTTGTATTTGTCCACACATGCAGTGTAACTAGCAATGGCTTAAACCTCATCTTTTCAATGAAGCTTTTCAGTGAGGTAACAGATTCAAAGTGTGAATAAAATGTGAGAAAACCACCCAGAACTGTGTACAGTTTTTTTATCCTGCCATATTAGTAGCAATACAATATGGCTTGTTCTCTTATGGAAGAAAATTCAACTATAATCATGTTAATTTTTCAAGCTAATCAATTAATCTTTTTAAAGTAGTTAGAGCAAATTAGCCAGCGCACATGTAGCAATGATCCAGCAAGTGGTTTCCATTGAAGCTCCAGCTACCAGACTACCATTTGCCAGGAACCAGACTTTGGACTCCTTTCTCCATAGCAGGTAGTTTTTTCTCCCAGAAAAAAACTCCACCCCTAAACCAAACAGAAACTAAGCAGATGTCATGAAGTGGAAAAATGATGGAAAAGGCTTGAAGAAAAATATCTGGAAGGAATTCCTGGGCTTTGAAGACTGAGCTGCCTATGGAAACATTTGCTCCAAGTCCGTAGGTTTCATTCACACCCTGAGGGAGCTTAACCAGGCTCCTAACTCAGGGTTGTCTCCTCTAAGTCTAGATGAGGTGAACTGGCACTCAGAATTAAGGAAGTTGAGGCTTTGTTGCTTGCTCGTAGCCATGTAGCTGAAGGCAATGTAGGCAGTGTGGTAGTTTGTTGTCATCACATGCTTGGTGAAACCCAGATGTGCAGCCAGCTGGGGAGCAGGTGGTCACTGTCATCTTCCCTGCCACAACCACTTATTTGGGATTTTAGACTCAAAATCACCTGCCTCTTGCACGAACCTGGAGCTCTCTGGCCTCACTAGCCAGTATGAATTAATCTTGAACAGATTTCGAATGCTGTAATTTATACTGCACTGATTCATCCTGGGCATTATCACGGCACAGAGGTTAACCACAAAGCCAGAGCCTCACCCCAGGCTCAGGCAAACCCTGCCTCCAGCTGGGCCAGCCTGATTTTGGCACTGGTTACTTCAGGCAAGACAGCAAGGTGTGATGCTGCCTGTATCACTCCACGCTGGACCCGCGGCTGCAGGAAACAAGCACGGTGGCAACACAATGGCTTGTCAAAACTCTGAGAGAACCTAAATTACTTTTAATGATCTTTGGGGGTCATTCAAAGCTTCAAAGGGCGCTTGCAGCTCTTTGGGCAGCTGGGTAGATGGCACGGAGGCATCAGAGCAGGCAGCGCTGGTGCGGGTGGCCGCCGAGCTTGCACCAGATGTGCTGCGCTCACACCGAGCTGCTGCTGCAGAGGAAAACATGCCACTAACTGAAATGCTTGCCTTCGTCTGCAGGAGACTTTGCTTTGTTATTATGTGGCAGTATGGTATAAAGACATAAACCCCCAAAAGACACAAAATCAGAGTGAAGCAGACTGAAGGTTAGGTTAGTCTGGTCACCTCTTGGTTACAGCAGATACACAGGGACAGGGAAGAAAGCTCAGGAATGCGCCAACATCCCGTGAATCTGTATTTCAGGGATTTCCTTTGCATCTAACACCTGTTGTGGTATTTCTTACGTAAATTTGTCTGGTTTCCGTTTTAACCCATGCAGACTTTTTAATATCCAAACCATTGTATAGCAAGTGTGCTTAACCTTCATTCAAACCTGACACCGCCCCATTTGATGCCCCCAAGTTCTCGAAGGGGAAGAGATAAAACAGTGGATCCCTACCTGGTGTTTCCATCAGCTCATGATCTTGTACACCCTTCATCATAGTCCCCTCTTTTCCAGGCTGAAAAGCCCCTAATGTATTTAATCATTCCTTGTCTGACGTATACCCTTGTGTGTGTATATATATATATATATTTAATCCATGTTGCCACCTGAACCATTCTCTAAGATTCAGGTATCATTTTTTACATGAGGGGAAATGGGGGTATACCAGATTTGCAGTGGGATAGGTACGGGGTATACCAGATGGACTGGATATACCAGATTTTGCAGGGATGAAGCTGCAGCTGAATCATAGTTTGCTACAATGGCATATTGACATGACTTTGTTTTCTATTTCCTTGTAATAATTTATAGAATTTAACTACTTTTGATCATCCGTGAAGCACTGAGTTGATATTTTAGCGAACTATGTATTATAATAATTAAAAAAAATCAGTCCTGAGGGATAATCTCAGTCAGCTCAGAGTCTACCAGTGTATATACGAAGGTAGGATTTGGTTTAATTTTGAACATCACTTCCTCTACACTAAATTTGACCTGCCATTTTGCTTTCTGGTCAGGTGGTGTAAGAAAGTATATCTGCAGTTCTTTAAAGCAGAGGTTTATTTTTAACTATCCAGAATAACTTTGTAGTATTGGCAAATATCATTGCCTTGATTTTTACCTAGCGCTAGCTAGAGGCAATGGTTAGCGTACCTTGAAACTGGAATTCACCACATCTGAAAAAGTCTTAGCAGATGTCGGGATGGCAGAAATAACGGGAGCAAGGTGCAATCACTGCACAGGCACCTCATTACGGAGACAGGGACACGGGCTGCCTCTGAGCACAGGGGAACCTAACGACCAGCGGCAGCTCTCTGCAGCAGATAAGGACCACACAGCCGAAAGAGCACAGCCAAGAAACCCCGCTACTTCACTTTCTGAGCCTAATTTTAGCAGTTTTATTTATCTGTAATAAAACACGACTTCAGGAGCAAGCTTCCTGGGGAAAGGGAGGGGAGCTCTGTGCAGAAAAGGGATTAACCCTCACCTCCAAGCAAACATGTTTCCAGTAAACACTCGCAGAAAGAGGCGGGAGGGGGAGGAGAGACCACCCTGGTCGGAAAGCGGGCGAGTAGCTGCGTTAGGAATCAAGCGGGGCGCAGCGGT